ACTTTATATTTCATTGAAACTATAAAAGATGATTTAAAATGTTTATGGAATTAATAAAATAAAAATTTTCCGTATGAGGGTTTAGTTTTTATTTGTATGAAACAATTGAATAATTTGATTAATCACAGTCAATACAAACTCAACATTGCTCTAGTACTTAATATCTATCATTTTTATATGACTTTTTTTTGCATGTATATCACTCTAGAGTTCCAGTCTAGTCAATTCAGTTATTATTATTTATGCTAGAAAAATCTTCTATGAAGGTTTTCGCTAGAAGTTAATTTAGTAATCTATGACAAAGAAGATTAGTTCATGCGTATAATTATGTATGTAAAGTTTTATAAATCGATATTCTTGAGCCAAGTGAATGTACCATTTTCATGACATTTTTATTTGATAGAGTTAATTGAACTGAATATAAATCTATACTAACATTAAATACAGTAGTACCTAAAGAAATTGAATATATTCATATAGTCAAATAAATCGGATTAGATTTGTTTATTTTCAAATCCCTGTAATAATAGATGAACAAAATTATAAAAATATGTTAGTTGTTCGAAGATTAGCATTAAAAATACATATAAAAATAGTTTATTTTCGAATTGCAATTTGAGATTATAGACTAATATTATAATACAAATTTTTTTCCTTCTAATATTAAGCATAATTCTAAAGTTTCAAGCTTATAGAAACTACCGGAAATCAGTCTTTTTCTTTCTTTAAGAATAGCATATGCTCCAAACTATAATACATCGTCCTTGAAGATGAACACTGCCAGTAGGTTCCTTTTTGGTACATATATTGAAAAATGAAATAAGAGTACAGATTAAAAAGAAACTATACACAAAATCTAACATTTTCTTATTGTAATATCGATAACAAAACTTTAGATAATGTTTAAAAATTAGAAGAATATGAAATGATAATTAAATAGTATTACAGTTTTTTTCCAAAAAAGGAAATTTGCATTTAAATTTGATCTTAACTAAAATAATTATATTGAAGTCTAGTCTAATACATTAAAAAAGTGTTAATCAAAGAGTACGACAGATAAAGATAAAAGACAGTTTCAATTATTATTCTAACATATAATTAGTTTTCTAAAAATATATATTTATAATGACATATTGAAAATACTAATAACATCCTTTATTTGTTGCATTTCGATTCTTCTAAGGATTTTTTTCACTTGACTATACACAGACATTAAAAATACTAATCTTTTTTCTCTTCATCAAATATGTATGCAATAATTATTTTCTATCAAGAGTTGTCATTTCGAGAAGTATATTAATATAAAGAAGACAAATATTTTAGCTTGTCAACATCATTCAATTTATTCTATGACATTTCCTCTGATAAATATTCCATTATATTGTTATTTTACAAAACAAAAATTTTTCACAGTAACGCAAATTGAAGTTCATATTATTATTTTTTTTTTTGCTTACAACTAAACAGTTACTCACAGACAACAATAGTGCATATTTAGCATAATATTAATTATTCGAACTACATATATGACAATACAAATGAATAATTAAAATTGTTTTTTTTATACATGAGTATTGGAACGAGGTTTAACATCTATTAAATCATTTGTACGAGATGTTAAAGATATTTGAGCTAATTCAGCAAGTGAATGTTGTTCTTCTTCAGATTGATGTTTTGGTAAAATACGTTTATTTCGTACTATTTGATTAATAGTTGTTGATGTTGAACTATTACCTTCATTTGATTTTACTATTTCATTGGAATTTGAATTTGAACGACGAGTTTTTTGTTTTTGATCAATATAATCTGATACTGTTTTTCGAAATAATGCAATTATAGTTTCAGGTGTTGTTGATTGTGCTTGTGAACGTACATTTCGACGAAAATTATTGACAACAATTGAACAATCTTCTGGTAAAACATGATGAATTAATTCACTTAGTTCCATTTTAATTATATCTGATAAATGATATAATTCAGTTGGTGTTTGTAATAGATTATTTTGTGGTGTTAACCATGAATAATCAACAGATGAACGTCGTTTTGATGATGATGATGATGGTTTATATGTTGATGCAAGTAAACCACTTTTATGAGCTAAAACTTCTGAATTACGTTTTGTTCTTAATGATGTTAAGGTTAAACTATTTTGACATTGCATTTCAAGTTCATCTAATAATGTTTCAGCTGTAGAATTTTCATCCATACAAGCATAATTAGCTGCTTGTGCCTCGATTGAAGTTGAATGACGTCGAAATAAATTTGAAAATGCCATAATAGTTACTTTTTAATTAGGTCGAAAGAACAAATAACTTCAAAAAAGTTTATTTGGTTTATTCTAAATGATTTTCTACGTTAAGAAGTAGTGTCTGTCGTCTGCGTTTAGCTTTTCATCTCTATGATAAAGTTCATAGAAGTGGAAGAATATAGGAAAAAAGGAAAGATTTTGAAGAACACACCAAGTGAAATTTTTTTGCGTAGCTATTTCTCTCACATTTTTTTCCTCATAAAGAGACAAGATCTCATATAAAAAAAGGAGAAAAGAAAAAAAAAAAAGAAGATGACAAGATTATTTCAACGATGACGACAACGGATATGAAGACATTAAGTGCAAAAAAAACGCTAAATTTTCTCTGATAATAGTGTAACATTATTATTTTGTTACTATAATTTAAAATGTCTTTTTATTTTACTTTCCTCGTAGACAATGATAAATTATGAAATAACTCTTTGTTTCATTTCGAAAATGCTGAGTGTATTATATGTCTTAAACAAAGGATGAAACCTTCATACACAGTATAAGTTAATGACCTGCCATTGACTTCTTTTTTATACATCCCTACAATGCATTACAATTATTATCTTTTCATCATGAAATTTGCTGAATTTTTTCATTTGTAATAGTAGCAATTATATTATATTGTATTTTCATACTTATCAGATTTTACTTAACAACTTCTCATATATGAGACAAAAAAAAGAGTCAATATTTATTCTATCATTATTTATATCTCGAAATCGAGCTTCTTTCTTTCAACAAAAAGAGATTCTTATTCATGTGTGTGTTTACATTAGGATATATTGATAATAAGAAAAAAAGAAAAACATATTGTTAGAATTTCACCTATACATGGAATCTAAATATAGTGATACATATGTGAATAATAAATCGAAAGAAATTAATAGAAAATTATTATGAATACAATTTGTTTAAAAATGCTTTTAATAGAAACCTATAAAATAATTTTTATAGTAAACAAACATGCAATGATAAAAACTGCCGATAGCTATATAATAGGTTACATTATTTTTTTGTTCGTAATTTGAGATGCACCATATGTTTCTTAAGATGGTCTTCTGTGAACACATATGGTATTAATCGGCTTTGAATAAAAGACACCATACATTTCTTGTTCTGCATTTATGATAATAAAAAATATATAAATAACTTTACAAAAAAAAAACTAATTATCTTTCAGATGATTAGAAAAATTGAACTATTTTATTTGAAATAAACTTTTTTCTTTGCGAAACACTAATCTCTATTGTATTATTCAAATAAAAGTAAAGTGTCGAGTCTAAATATGTATATACTTTACTTAACGTAAGAGCTATATGTAGGTGTTAACAGGAAATTGATCCGATCAACCTGATGATGATGGTGAGTAAAATATAATAATTGTCTTTTCGTTGATCGATATGTCAATAGACTGATTGAGAATGAATAAACAAAATTTTCTCTCTCTCTCTCTTTTCTTAAATTCTAATTGATTAGCTAGCTTTCGAATATGTAAATATTGATTTACCCTTATTTTTTTTTTAATATTTCAAATGCAGGTGTGAACAAATGTATTTCATATAGGAAGAATCAAAGTGATATGATGTTTTTATAAAAAATTATTATCATGATCACACAAAATACAAAAGAGGAAGGAGAAGTAGTAGTTGTACTTCATCATCAGTTAGTTAAACATAATTGACAAGAAAAATTATACTTTGATCAGTACCGACAGAAGTACATAGATGATGGAGTCAATCGGATTAAAATGTTTGCGAACAAGTAACAACAGAACATTCCATCCTAATGTATTCTTTTATGATATATGTATGTATATATATATATAGAAAGCGAGAGGTATAGATGTTATCTTTTTATGTTATAGAGATCAACTATCAGAGATCAAAAAAGGGAAGGTGTGAGTTACTCAGCATGAATATCATGATTATTTTCTCTGTTAATTCTTAGTTTCTTCAAAAGATATCATTGATTTTGTTTTTGAAGAAGTGTTACTTCTAGTGATAACAAAAAGAAAATGAAAAGTTTATTTTTTCTTCTTAAAGAAAAATCTCGATGTTTCTATAACATTTTTTGATTGACAAGAGAGCGAAATTTGATACTTAAAGATGACGTAAGCAAAAAGAAAGATAAACTTCTATCAATCGTTACATTCACTAATCGATGTTGAAGCCCTATTGATAGTTGCTCTGTCTCATTCCAAGAATAACAAAACAAAATACTCTCTATGCTTTTCTTTTCTCTCTCTCGCGCGCGCTCTCTCTCTCTCATCGATTAGATCCGATTTCGAATCATCATCACGCAATTCGTCCTTTAACACGAAAGGCACATCTCATATTTCAAGTTTGTATATACACAAAGCACTTAGAAATTAAATATTTACATATCGTGCTAAACAAAAGAGAAAACGATTAGTCATTTTCATGTTATTTTTTATCTGATCCCATTGAAAATACAAAGACAAAAAAGAAAGAGACAAAGAGAAAAAAAAATGAGAAAAATCGTATTTAAAGTGAATGATAATCTTTAAAAATCCTTCCAGAATCAATAATATCTGTTCCTGTTGTTGATTTCATGTGATTGTGATGATGATAATGATGATATTGTTGATTATTATAATCAATTTGAAAACCTTTTGATGTTGGTTCACTACCAGTTGATCCAAGATCATCTAATGAATTGTCATCATTATGTGATGGACTCATATCAATTGTTTTCCTATAATATAAATTTATGAGATTTTATTTTTTTTTTCGTTTTTCTAATTTAAATTATAATAACAAACCTATCACCCGTTTCCGATGCTCGATCACGTTGTCGTCGATTTTTAAACCAATTTGATACTTGTGTTGTGGTTAAACCAGTTGTTTCAGCTAATTCACGTTTTTCTCTTGGTGATGGATAAGGATTATGTATATACCAATCTCGTAAAACATTACGAGATTTTTCTTTAAAACAATAACTTGTTTCTTCTCCATCCCATATTGTACGTGGTAATGGAAATTTTCGTCGTACACGATATTTCCCAACAGCACCTAATGGTCTTCCACGTAATTTTTCTGCTTCATTATAATGTGCTTGTAACCATAATTGTTGTAATTGTGAATGACTACATGGAGAAAATTGATAACGTTCAAGAATATTATATAGTTCACGATAACTTCCTCGACGAAATGCAACAACTGCTTTAGCTTTTACAACACTTTCATGTGTATGAAAATGTTCACATGATGGTAATGTCCATAAAAAATCACCTAGCAAAAGCAAAAAACAACACAAATTCTTATCATATAAAGATTTGAAATATAATCCTAGAAAATTTACCGAGTCGTTGAATATCATTACTCTGTTGAAGTACTTCACAAACACAAGCAACTTGTTCGGGTGTAAAAATACTACCTATTGCATTGGTTGATGGTGGTGTATTGATGTTAGTAAAACTACTAGCGATCGTTGTTGGTGGTATCGGATTGCTTTCAAGCATTAGAAAAGAACTAGAGAGAAGAAAAAAAAAGATTTTGTTTCTTTTTGTTAATAGTAACAGACATCAATCGATCAATTGATTGAAGAGACGATGCGTGATATAGAGAACGAATAAATGATTAAATCTTTCTTTTTTTTCTCTCACTTGCTCGTCTATGATTTCAAATCAAATGCAGACAGAAAAAGCAATTTTCAATAAACGAACTTGAAATAGTATAGACTTAATCCTTGACTATGGGGAGGAGTATAGTATCCAATGGAAAGAAAATCGAGTTTTAATCATATTACAATAACAATATATATATACATATATATATATATATACTCAACTGTTTTTCTTCTCTTCTATCGTTGTTGTGTTTGACACGTCAATTTTTTCTTTTCTTTCTAATGAGAAAATTATATAGAATAGATGTTGAACGATAGGCGACAGAAATCTATAAGTGACAAATGTGAACCAATCGCTGTTGAGAGAGTATAAAAAAAGAAGAAAGAGAAAAAGAAGAAATTTTTTCTTTTTTTTTTTTGTATGTTGATAATCTTTATGTTCTGTATTTTTCTGCTCGACATACGAAGTAAAAGAACAAGTGGATGCATCTACTATGATTATATGCCACTTGCTATTCATTTCTTTCTCTCCCTAGTGATTTCCTTGATATCTATGTGCACAGGCTATATACGAAGATAATTGACAGTAAACAGCTGTGCTCTATGTGTGTACACACATATGTATATATGAAGAATAGATTTTTGTCTATTATCATCGAGTCACTATTAATGTTGTATGGCTCATGATGGCATCATTTTCTGAGAACACATATACATACGACGACATTTTCTTTTCTCACACACACACATATATATATATATATATTTTTGAAAAAGAGGCATGACTCTTCTCAAATTTCAAAAAGCAAATTTGTCTTCTTTTTTCTTCTGTCCGCGACAGCTGTTGGACAAATGGCAAAATTAGAGATGCTTGTCGTTGTCATGCACGTATTCCCATTCGATCAAGACGCGACAAGTGCTAAACACATAGAATGTTATGCGTGATTGGTGACAATTTTTTTTCTTTTTCTCTTCATTCTCTTTCCTTCGCTTTCGTAAAAGGATAAAGAACAAAGATTAGATTTATTCACGATTGGTGGAACAATAAAATATTTAAATGATAGAAAAATGATATTATTCACTAAAGATATATGAGAAAATTTATCCTGCTGAGTTTTTCTTTTTCGAATAATATCCATAAATCAAGACAATTAAGTGTAACCAAGTTGTTTTATTTGAATGAATGATAAACATATGGATATAAATGTTAAAAATGAATTTAATTATTGGATGAATGATTCGTATTGTAGATGCGCATCATCGACAAACTTATCAATTAAAATAAGCATCTGTTACATTGGAAATCTTTTAAAAGTTTGAAATATTTATAGTATGTCAGTGAGTATCGTTTGTACGACGGATGAGAAAGAGTTTTAAAATCTAGAACAAAATGCGCTTCAAATTGCAAAGAGCAGTCACATATAGGTAATGAAAATAATTTTTTTAATTGATCATTCTTATATTTAGCTATTGGCTATCTACAATGTACTCTTGTATAAGACAGAAAAAAGGTAAAATCTTTTCGTTATAAATTGCCGAGGACGAAGAAAACTACACACTAACTTTTTCTTTCTCATATCGGAATAAAGGATATTATCAGAAGAGACAAAAAAAATAATATAACATAAATTGATTTTATAACCACTTTAAGATAAATAAGATCTAGCAACTTATTGGTCCATATGTCTTTCACATGATACTGTAAGGCTTCTAAACGATAACATTACAATTATTTCAAGCAGTAGCGATGTCCTTTGTGTATATTATCAACTTTAGGTTAAAGCATAACCTAGAAGACCTTCATTTATTGTATTTTCACATTTTGAATCTGGTGAAATAAAATAATTCGAACCTGATCGACAACGATAAATAGGTATAGCATTTGGATTTGTTGTCTGATCTATATAAATATAACCTAGCGGGCCCCAAGCGTCTTGATTTTCACAATTTTGTTGAACACTAGGAAAATTTCTCTTATCATTTGTACGTGCGCATTCAAAAATAAGTTTTGTATTTGGTTGATATTCACGAAATAATTTCCATGTACGTTCAATTTTATAACCACTTGGTAATGGTCGTGTTGTTGAAAAATGACCACTAATTGGATGTTTACCTCGTTTAAGTATAACATATGGTAGATTTTCAAATCCACATGATAATTTATTTGTTGTAATATCAAAACGATTTGTTAATGCCCATAAACTCCAAGCACGTTTATATTGACCAGATGTATCAACTAAACCTAGGCCAAGACCATCTTTTGTTTCAACTGGATGATCTTTCATACGATGATATATAAATAAATCAATATTTGGTGTTGATAAAATAATTTCAAAAGCAACACATAATTGATCATATTGTTTATTTTGATCAGAATTTGGTGACAGAGAATTAATACCATTTTCAGTTAAATATATTTTATGTGCTGATGGATTATTTGGATAATTTTGCATAAGCCATCCAACAAGTCGATTGATATTTCCAAATGTTATTTTTGGCCAATCATTTCGACTAAATTCTGCACGAAGAAGATTTGGTGGATATGGATGATATGCTAAAGCCCATTGACGATTATCTAATTGTGGAACTAATTTTCTTAGAAATGTATGTGCAGATATAATCTATTTTAAATATTATATATCAGTTAACTAATAACAAAAAAAACAAAGTAATAAATTCTATACATACAGGACTTGAATTATTAATATATTTATCAAGTGATGAATCAAAATGATGTTCAAATGAAATTAATACTGGTGCTTGTACTTGTTCATGACGTATTGCATCATAAGCTGATGTATAGACTTGTGCATAATTTGTAACCCATTTATCAATTTCACATGCTACTCCATCTCTACAACCAACATTATACCATTCAGCTGCATTTACTTCATTCATAATAACAAATTCTGTAATACGTCCATGATTATTTTGACCATTAAAATACCAAGCTATAAAGCCAGCAAAACGACCAAATGCAATTGGATTATCAGGTGCACAAAAATTTTGATTTGCTTGCCGACAATTTGTATTACTTTTACGAGCCCAGAATGGTGGTACAAGAAGTATACCAGTGACCATAAACTGTTGGCTTGTATAAAGTTTAATTGCTGCTTCATCAGCTGGTATAAAACAATATCCATCATAATCGACTTCATTGCTTGAGCATGGTGCACGTTTTTCTTCAGGTTGATATGCTGCCCTGATTAAATATATAGAATCAATTAAATTACTAATATGATGTCCAGTATATGAAAGATAAAAGACAAAAAACTATATTAGAGCTATCTGTAATCTATGATATGTATGCTACTTTATTTTTATTTCCTAGGATCATATGAAAATAATATTCATTAGGAATTTATTTACCAAACTAAATTTATTACAACTCCTCCAACTCCATTGCCTGTAAAGTCTTCTATTTTCCAATCATCTGGTTGAATTGCTTTGATTCCGTATACTGATCTTTGTGGATAAATACTAGGATCATTTAATTCATCAATCGATGGTCTATAAAATTTTTGATCCGACAATGCATAGACAATGAATATTTTCCAATAAATAATCCAAAGTAATAAATCAAATGTTTTCTTCATGATAGTATAGCATTATAAACATATTTTTACTCAAATATTTATAAGTTGATTAAAATCTTTTAAGTTATTATATGTGATTAAATTGTTATATGATAAGAAAATCCTTTATATAACATAATTCTACCTATCGATCTGTTTTTTGTTTTTGAAAATAAATAAAACATCTGGTGCATCATAATGGAAAAAAAACAAAATAAATCTCCTACATAGATATAATTACACTAAAACAATTATTTATTTGGGCTAAGTTGCACTTATTGCATAGGTTTAATAGTACTAGAAATCTAAAGAGAAAATTTGCAAATTATTTTTTTTTTGATAAAAAATAAATCTAAGTAGTTACATTAATAAGACATTCAGTACATTTAATAATACCATCGATAATAGTAATGTACATGATTCAAGAATTTTTGATGAACCATCCTATGTATATATATAATTAAAAATCTGATATAAAAATAATTAGCTATTTCTATTTATTTATACGTTCATTTTTTTCTTTATGTATACTTATAGTTAATTCTAATTATTTAGAATGTTGTTTTACTAACACGATGTCTATTCTCAAAAAGAGAGATCATAAAAAAATTTCGAATATGATTTTACGTGTTTTTAGTTTTGAATTAACTTGTTTATTGTTACATAAAAGCATGATTTTTATACAGATTAAAATAGAATAATGGTTAAAATTTTTTATCTGATACAATGTAAAATGTATACCAAAAAAACGGTATTATTCATGAATCAATGTCAATGTTGGTTCTCAAGAAGAAAGAAAAAAAAGCATACTTAGAAAAATTTTTTAATAATATTGATATCTACTTAAGTTTATTTAAAAAGATCATCTAATCATTTTTATTTTTAACTTGATTCTCTCTTGAGATATGTAATAAGGTTAGTTTTGTTTTTATTAGAATGTATAAATAAAAGATTGATTATTTATTACACATAATATGGATGATCACGATGCTTTAATTAGTTTTTAAAACGTTCAGCTCAATATAAATCTGTATCAACATTAGCACCTATTTATAATGTATCAAATTGTGAATGGAGTAAAAATACATTTATAAAATAATTTGAAACATATAAATTCGTTTTTTCTTTTGAATAAAAAAGAAAAACAAAATTTTATTGTTGAACATAAACATCTTTGAAAAAAAACACGATTACAGAAGAAAAAAAAACAACTTTTTGTTCATGAAATACAAGAGAAAAAACACACGTTTAACATCAAATACAAGAAAAAAAAACATGTTTCACATTAAGTACAAGAAGAAAAAAAACTACGAGTTATTTTTCACCACATGAATAAATTTTGATATTTGTTAATCGTGCACCACCATCAGCATCAACATCTTGATCTGAAATATGAAAAAATTTATTCGAATTTTAATAAATGTGTTATTTATTTAACTTACAACGATCAGCAATTGATTGTATAATTTCCATACCATTAATAATTTCACCAAAGACAACCTAAACAAATAATAAAAATGTATATTCTATGATAAAATTTAATAACATACCGAATTACCATTTAAAGTTTCCGCTGGACCTACAAATAATATTAAAGATATTCAAATTTAATAATAATTAATTTATTCATACCTGATGTGATGCTGAAACGTGTCAGACTTTTAGATAAATCCATAGTGATCAATCCTTCCCTATCATGAAGAAGTGAATTTAAGTGTTTTTCCTTTATTTTATTGATGAATCTATAAATTTAGAAGGTAAATAAAATAATTCAATCAAATAATTTTTTTTTACTTAGAGCCATCACTATTTGAAATCAGAACATCACCACCTAGAAAAAAGTGTTAATTAATTTACTAAAATTCTTGCATATAAATTGTTAATTATTTACCAGTTATAAATTTATTTTTCATAACGTAATTAAGTGTACTTCCTTCATAATTATAATTATATTTACTTCCACAACATCCTCGAAATAAATCTATCAATAATGAACAATTGAATAAATATTAACTAAAAACTTCGTTAGAGACAAAATAAAAATTCTCACCACAAGCAACTGATGCCACAGTATCAAATAACTATAAGAAAGATTAAATAATAATTAAAACAATTGTTGAATCAAAAAGTGACATACTTTAATTATAATTGATTGATCACACATGACGTTATTAATAGCAATACTAATAAAACAACCCAGGTCAAAGAAGTGCGCTCGTAAACGATCGTATATGGAGAAATACGACCGCGCGCGACCGTATTTTGCCGTATTACCTGAGGTCGTATTACGATCGTATATCTCCGTACCGTAAACAGGAAAATACGATCTTTTACGACCGTTTTTCTTCGTAAACAATCATAATTTTCCGTATACTGTACGGAGACATACGGTCGTAATACGGCCTCAGGTAATACGGCAAAAAATGGTAAAATACAGTCGTATACGGTCGTATTTGGGTGTGGGTGTGGGTGTTAATAACGTTTTATAATCTCACAGCTACACCCACACCGACTCTGCACTACTCAAATCTGCCTAGAGCCACATCCACACCCACACCCACCCACACCCACACCCACCCACACCCACACCCTCTACTATTATTATCATTTGATTCATTTGATGATGTTTCATTATCCACAAAGAATATTAATTGACGTGATACATCTCCGGCTGATTTGGCTCTTCTTAACTAAATGAATATTTTTTTAATAATTATCAATGGAAATAACGGTGGCTACTTACTGGTTGAATTCGTGATTTATTTTGAATATTATCATTTGAAGTGGTGATATAGGTGGTTTATTTATGAAAATAAATAAACAAAAATAAAGGAAAAATAACAACAGAAGAGAGGGGAGGAGATATGAATAGCTAGACGGGAAGAGTAAGTGATACTTAGAAGAGAAAAAGATGAACTGAACTATGTTTAAATATACTAGAGGGAAACAAAAGTAGGAAAAAATATAGGGAGAGAGAAAAAAGGAGCAGAACGAAAAAGAACCTGATGCGCGAAAACTGTGAAGACATCAGGAGGGGAGAGATATATGGAAGCTTGACCACGAGCAGTGATCTAGTAAGTTAGCGGTAACTTGGTGACATTTGTTATCGCTAATACCTTCGCTCATGGGGGGAAAAAGGGGTCTCTCATGCGGCTACCTAGAGAGAGTAGGTAGGGGTAGGCGGGAGACACCTCAAGGAATAAGAGACAAGGAAAAAGAAAGCTCTAGGAACATGTTAAACAATAACAACACGAAACACAGGGAAATTGATGCAATAATAAGGGTATGGCTCTGAATGTATGGGTACGAGTAGAATATAGTGATAAACTAGATTTGCTCGCTTACATACCCACCCACACTCTAAAGCTGCTCATGCGACGATCTGTCCACATTTTCTATCTTATTAAAAAGTTTGTAAAATAAACGAACAGACTAAAACGTTTTTGATGATAAACTTGAACATTCAAGGAAAGATATGATTAAACGATTTTCGAATAATAGTTTTCCGGTATACCACATGTACCAAAACCTGAATATATACAACAAAAAACAAAATATCTTCACAAAATCGACTAAATTTAATAGGACCTCCAACAAGTAATTATGCTCGATGCGGAGTATCTTGTACAACTTCCTGAAAATTATTATAAATTTTGTTCGATGAAAAACTTCATAAGAAAACCTATGTAATCAAGAAGAAATCTTTATTAAAATTTAATTTGTTATTTTCTTGATTATACTGAATTGAATTTTGTTCGAACAAACATAATTTAATCTCAAAAACAAAAGTATTTTATTTCAATTTCTTTTTGATATTTTCATACAATAAGGTCGACAAAAAATAATTATCGATTATTAATCATATTTGTGTAATATAATAAATAAAAAGTTTGAACAGTGAGACAAATAAAAATGGTACGGAATGTGTGAAATAAATAAAAGAAAGAAGAAGAAGAAAAAAATCTATTATGATATGGAATTAGTTCAATCACTGTTTAAATCGAATACACGACCAATCCGAAGTAAAAATTCTCGTAATATGTATCGTAATTCTGATTTTAAATCAAATACAACTATTTCACCAATCAGTAAATAAATTCCTTTTGAATAATATTTAAACTATTTAAAGAAACAAAAAAAATAAATTTATTCAACAGAAATTATTTTTTATTCATACTCGTTCTTCATTAAGTTTTAATAATTTTGTTAATACAAGTATAAGAACATTTGTCCATGCATCACGATGAGTTTCAGATTGTAATGTTAAATAATATTCCAAACTATCACGAGTCAATCTAATATAAATAAATAGATTAAATTAACAGTTTCATGTTTGCATAAAATATATATATATTTCTATCGTTCTCTGTTCTAACTCAAGTACAAGTGCATTTTCCTTTTGGTACATTAACGTTTAATGGTAATATGAAAGTATTTTCTATTCTTTCATTTAACTGTCGATTTTTGAGGCATATACGAAGTAATATAACATCTTTTTTTACCGTTTTTACTGAGAAAAAAAATCGTCGTGTTAAACTACTGTGTCCGTCACTGTTAATAAAATTTATGTGTAACTTAATAAAATTAATGTAGTCACTGAAAAATTTCCTAATTTAGCCTATATATAGTCTGAAATCTAACTGAATATTAACAAAGATTATTTTTAATACAAACTTAAGTATTCGATGTTTGAGTAAATCATTTGAATTAATATGTTTTTGATCACTGTATAAGCGGAAAAGAATACGGAATGCACAAGCAATACTATTTGTTTCTTGTACTAATAAATTTGGTTTTGCTTTGCCTCGATATCCTTTAAATAGAAAATAAAATAAAATAAAATAAAATAAATAATCATTTATATTTATTTTACCAGCTTTCCATAGAAAATTTCTTTGTTCATTATTAGAATTAAATGCACGAGCAAACATATGTGACTCAATTAAACAATCGACAAGTAATATTAATTGATCAAAACTCATATAATTATACATGCCATGTTCATTATAGATATCATCCGATTGAGAAAAATAATCCGATGTTTCTTGTCCAATCGTTGTATTTGCTAAAGCCTAAAAATATTTCAATAAGAATATCAGAAATCAAAAAAAAAAAATAAAATCTAATAAATCAGAGCAAATCAAACCATCCAACATGCGTTTTTTTATTTTTTGTACCTCTGATTCATCTGAAGTCGATTTCTATGAGTGATAGGTTAGTCAAATAGTATTAATAGTAAATAAATATATATATATGTATATTCTTACACGTGCTACAGAGTGATATTGCGAATCTTCTTTTCTGCTAGTTGATGGATAAAAAATAATATTATCAATGGCTTGAATAAGTTCGATTTGCACAAGAGATTTAACTGTTAATGCTTGAAAAAGAGCAAAATCTGAATTTAATTCTAAAGATAAATTAATAAAATTTATTATTTGTAATGAACTTGTTTTTTATTCAATGTAATACTTGTTCGTTCGCTAAGTGAACTACTTGATCGTCGATGATTTAAATTAGGTTCTTGATGATCCAATAAATTACTATTTACACTAGCTATACTACTAACTCGTGCCAAACGATGCTGTTGACTTGATGCAGACTCAACTGCTGCATAATCAAATGAACTATCTGTACGATCAAGCATCTAAAATATTTTCGAATGAATAGAAGATATTTTTTTGTATTTCAAAATTTAAATAATTTACAACTGTTTCATTAATTATTCCCATTCCTGATTGTTCAGCATCGGGTCGCCATGTTAATAACCTAGAATAGTATGTTGATAAATATTTTAAATATTTATATGATTGAATAACTCACATTTCTGGTACAGTTGAACGAAAAACTTCTAATATACAAGTACATGTTCTTTGCCAAATATCGGGTGTAAAACGTTGACCACAACCAATAACAAAATTTTCTAAACAATTCGTTCCTGATTTTGCTAACTGTTCATTATCTAGAAATATAAATTTACATGAAACAATTATCAGTAGTTTTTATTTCTAAATAAAATATCTTACCTTGATTAACACACCATTTTAATTGAGAATATAAATCAATAACAAGTGATTCAGGTATATCATCATAAAATTGTGAACATACATCCACAATGGCATATAATGCATGATTACATGTTGTTGTCATCCATTCAATTTTCTAATCGAATAATTAAGAGAAATTAACAGATGAAAAAGACAGAGTTTCTATTATTATTATACTTCTATTTGTGTATCTGGTAGTTTCATATTATCAAAAATACGAAAAACAATATTAAATAATTCAATCCACCAATTATGAGTAAATGCTTCGCCATAACTTTTCATTATTTCAAACATAACTGTTAATGCTCTAGAATAATAACAAGATAATATTTAATAAATGATCACTGTTTAATTATGTATAGTATATGTTCTAAAGATTGACTGTCATGACTAGTTGTAGCTACTCACTATCAATTAAACTATAAAATTTCAGTCTAATAATCTTTAGGTCTAGTCAAAATCTTCGCCCAGTTCATACTAATAAAAATAGTCAGATTATAATAAACTCCAATATTTTTATGGTTGATTTCCTTCCGCATAATCTAACTTAGGGTAGAAATTGATTTTAGGTCGATTTAATTCATTTCTGATCTTTTTACCATTATTAAGTATAGTCTTGACTTTGCTATGATTTTAGTAAAAACTCTAACAAGATTTCGAATAAAATCTTACCTTGTTCTAACATCGAGTTTACATCGACTAATAATACAAGATAATTCAAATAAAATCGGAAACCATCCTTTAACCCAAACACGATCTTCTTCAGGTACGTTAATTAAGTCTTCTCCTGCATGTTCACAAAAAATCTAAAATTAAACACATTTGTCTTTATCATCCTATTAAAACCATTCAACCTGTGGTTTTTCTGCAACATATTTTGCACATTGTCTAATTAATCGAATTGCTTCCATTGATGTATCGGGAAATGAAACATTACAAGCAAATTCTGATAAACATTTAACAGCATCTTGAAAACTATCAAGTATTGATGAAAAATTACGATCAAATACAACACCTAACATTTATAATAGAAACTTTTGTTTAATCAAATATTTTTTTTTATTTAATTAACATACCAATAATAAGTGTACACGATTGAAAAGCTAATTCAACAATTTGTACATCTGTATCTGTTGCAGCCATTTGAAAAACGCTAAAAATATTTTTCCAACCTGAACGAATATTTTTTGCTTGTGCATCAACAAAATGTGTTATACAACGAACAACCATATCACGTATAATTATTGATCTAAATAAAACAAAAACAATAAGAATTATTTTGATTATTTCAAATGAAAATGAATACATACGAATTTTTTTTCATAATTATTTCAAATGGTTTAAGAAATTCTTTTTGAAAACGAAAATTTGGAAATTCGCCTTTTTCAAGAAATTTCATTGATAATTGTCGTAAAGAATCAACTGCGAAAAAACACACATCTTGTGATGGATGACAAGCAGCCTTCAATTAATTATCATAAAAATAGAATACTAAGAAACACGAAGTTACATACTTTATTAAAATGTTCACCAACAATTTCCCATATTCGTGACCATTGAAGTCGAATACGTCCCATATTATAATATGATATTTCAATAACTTTTAATAAACTAAACATTCGAGGAGGTGTAGAATATAATTCATCCATCGATACATGACATAAACTTTGAACAAACGATACTAGAGAAAAAGCAATTTGTCAGAAAAATCTAAATTATAGAAAAACAATATTTCGTACCAATAGCATCACCATCTAATCGTGCTGATCCAGAGAAAATACGATCAACAGCAACGACAATATTTTGAGTAGTTGTTATATGAATTTGATCTTGCATTGATTGCAAACGTTTGTTTAATTGACCTATCAAATAATTACAAGATTAACCAAACAATTCATACTTCATTTCGAGATGAAGTTATACACAGAAATTTTCTCTTTCAATAGTATATTTTTTTTTCAATCTAAATTTTATGGCTACTGAAGACAGTGGCCGATCTAGGATTTTAGAAGGGAGGGGGCGATTTCGGCTAAAAGCTATTTTTTGAGTCCAACCGAAGTAGTCTGAACACATTTTTTCGTTCATTTTTGCTATAAAAAATCAAAAAAAAATTCGGAAGAGGGGAGGCGATCGTCCGCTACTGGCTGAAGACTATGATATCTTTCTTTTTTGAACACAAATAAGAAATAGATCTTAAACATACTTTTTTCGGTATTAAAAAGATTATCAAATGGTAAACTAAATGTCGTTGATGTATTATGTGTTGGTAAATGCGAATGATTATCATAATGATGATGACTATTTTTACCCGACAATCTTGCTTTATTATCATTAATACCAAATAATTGTGCTAATTCTAATTGACTAATACATTTTAAAATCTAGAAGAAAATTTTATTAAACAAATAATTATCTTTTGAAGAAATATACTTACATCATACCAAGCTTCACCAAGATAATTTCCATCAGTTTGGGCAATTGATATTAATGCTTTCAGGCATTCAACATTCTTTGCTTTGATTTCCATACCTTGTGATGTTGTCATAAGGAATGTAAAACGTGATAATGCTTGAATAAATGCATTACGTTCAAGCTAAAAAAAAGTAATTCAATCGATTTTTGTTTTCAGATAATATATAATTATTATAAAAATCAAACCTCCATATGAAAAATACAAGCTATACGAATAGCATAACTAATACCAGTTAAACATAAATTTATAAGATCAATATGATGACTATCTTGAAGATTAACACTAAATGCTGCTAAGCATGGTGACCATGCTTTCTAAATTATGAAAAAAGTCTTTTTATTAAATTGTTTTGATTAAATATATATATATATTCACTTGAAACATTGGTCGAACATGTTCAAGATGTTTTGCAATCGTAAATTCTTCACTTATTGTACCAGCATTTGACATTAAATCTCTTGCAATTAATTCAACATCTTTCATTTGAACATTAAATAATAACTCTCGTTGTTTATCATTAATAATATTTTCTTTTGTTCCACGTTTTACTGATGTTACTTTAAGTTTAATTTCTTCATTTTTAATTTCATCATAAATTTTTGATAAAAATTCTTCAGGTAAATCACGACTATCATTTATACCACGGTTCATTTTTATATATTGTTCTTTAGTCATTTTTTTCTTTACCTATAATTTTACATCGAGCATATTTAATATGTTTAGTTAAATTTACTTACATTGACACTATGTAAATCTGTTGTAAGCATGATTACTGAATAAGCTAAGACATAAGCAGCATCAGCACTGGCAAAAATTTCCAAACTAAAATTAAATAGAGTAAAGCGATTTGAAATAGTTTAACCAGTAAAATTCAATTGTATGAGATTTCCAAATATCATCACTTATCAAAGAATTGATGAACTACGGCCACTGCTCTCAAAGAAATATGAATGCAGCATATATATTAACAAGGACTGATACGTTTTCTTATAGATCTTTTTCAATTTTAAACTTTTTGGCTAGAACTTAACACAGCTTTCGAGAATGGCCAGTAGGGTTAAAGTCTCTAAGGATTGTTATGATACTGCTTTTGGAGAATCGTGAACGCACACTTGGACTTTCGCCATTGGTAAATGTCTTATTAGCGAAATTTGCGTAAGCCCTTTTTTTTACATATCTGTATATATTCTTACTTTGTATTACATTCACAAAATCTTCCAGCAAATTTTTCCATTAATCTATCAATTTTTTGTGCTTCACCAGGTAAACGAAATCCGGCAAGAAATTGTCTTAATGCTGCTAAAAATTCCATATCCGTAAAATCAAGTTGATCTATATATGCATACATAATTTTTTTATGATGTGTAGCTTCTTCACCCAAACAATCTCCAATAACTGTTTTATCTAATACATCTTGATATGAATGAAAAAATTGTGCAATTTCTTCTGGTTCATTATTTAAAAGATTTTTTTCACATAAATATGCCAGGCCTTTTTTAGCATGTTGATTAAATAAATCAATTCCTTTTTCAAATAATTCTTTACGCTGACGAACTAATTCAAAATCATTAATATTTTCTGATGATTGAGACGAATTTATTGAACCACTAGAATCTGTACGATGCATTCCACTACCAACATAACCTGATGATGAACGATTACTATCCTGATCATATCCATTTTCATTAAGTGGTTTAGAATCTGGTCCTAAAAATATATCATATTATTTATATACAAACAAAATGAACAATAACTATGAAATTACCTAAATTACTTTGTAAATGTGGATTAACATAAAGATCTTTGCTCCATTCAACCATACATTTTAATATTGATACGAGACATTCAAGACCTTTCATTCGTAGATTATGTTCTTCTGTTAAATTACAACCTAAATTAAAATAATCAATTAGTACTGTAGCCAGAAAAAAAACTTTTTAGGGAGGAAAGGCCAGGTTACACTAGTGGAGAAATGGAGTCCTCCTAACCATTGTCTAGTTACGCTCTTATGATTAATACTACCGAATAGATTTAATTCTTATGTCTCAAAGCTGAATTTAGGTTAATAATACATTGAGATACAAAATTATTAACATAATCTCTGTAAGATGATAAGTAGAAATTGCTCGAGGTCGGTTTCGATAATCAAATCAGAGCATGAAATTTATGATTCAACCTTGAACGGTATACTTTAATTTATTAGTTATTCTTCAATTAACGGTTCATTTCATTTCTGGTGACTGATTATAACATCAATCAGAATTGTTATTCGCATATAAAAATATATTTAATAAATCTGATTGATTTAATAAATAAAAATAATTCAATATGATTCTAAAACTGTTTCATTTGCTTTGAATATAAATGAGATATTTTCTATATGCTCAACCATTCATTATATTTAGAACATTTCTCTAGATATGTCTATAACAATAATCTCAATTTTCACTCTTGATTGATTCAATAAATAAATATATATGTCTGTTTTTTTTTAATAATGTAATAGAAACATAGGTATTACATGTGTTTGAATTTCATTACTTTATTAAATAAATATATATATATATATATGCGCATAATGCAATGCATAAAAATAAATTTATATGTAAATGAGCTAATAAAGAACAAAGAAATTCTTAAAAATGTTCATTCAAAATATGATTAATTAAATTTCGATGACTACTATTCATTACAATATTGGTTTTGCCTTAGAGTAATGTAATCAGAATCTAAACTTTTTAATTAATTGGTATATTTACGGACGCCTTAGATCTGTATTTAAAATTTAGATGTATAGAACGATCACCGATATTTTTAGAGTAAATATCGTCAATAATATATAGTCAAACAAAATTCGGCGATGAGCATTACAATTTGATAAACTTCCTGATAATCATACCTAGTTCTACAGCTTGTCGACCTTGTGCTGCACGTGATAGAACAACGACTAGACGTTCAAATATATTTGCTGATCGCATTGAACAATCATAATTGATAAATAAATCCACGATAATTTGAGCATCTATTATAAATACATACTAAATCATTTCATTCATAAGATAAACTTACCTGCAGAAACTTTTGCTAATGTTTGAATAACAAGCCATTTATGACGAAATGAACTAGTTGGTGTTTCAAGTATAGTTAAAAATATTTCACGAAATAATACCTATAATATATTGATAATTTCGTAAAAAAGAAAAATAATTTTTTGTTTAGTTTCAGTTACTTCAATTTGAATTTTTAAATGTGCTTTAAATTTATCAAGTAATTCAACAAAATTAAATAATGCCATTTCAAATAATTCAGGAATAGATGAAACACCATTACGTGATAATGATACACATAAATTTGTTTTTATTATTTGAAGAAAATCTTCTGATGTACGAAAAACTGGACCTGATGTTTGTAATATTTGCATTATTAAACGTAATGAAAAAAGTCGAGATTTAAGATCCAAATTAATTCTATTAAAATCAAATTATAATTTTATAAAAAGAAAAAAAGAATATTACATACCTTGGATCTATATTTCCTTTATCTTTGATATCACGATCAGATAATTTACATAAAGCACGAAATACATAATAAGCATTTTTAAAATAATTATCAGCAGATAATTCATCTGCTGATAATGAATTTGACATATTAGTTTTTATAGATGATTGTTCATCGATAGATTGACGATCTAAATAATGATATTCATTGAACTGGAAAATGATGCTTTAATATGTAAGTATCTTAGATAGAATAATCATGAGTTGAGAAGAGAAAGGCGACTACAAATTTCATTGTAAAATTTTACTCAGGAATGAGAGATATGCAGGTTTATAGAGAAAATTTTTCTCTATCGAATGGTATATATACCATTGAATTCCATTGAGTACCGTAAAAATCGATTTTTGGCTTGAATTCAAGCCAGTTAGAGACATATATTCAACTTTCTTTTGTGTCCGTGAACCTCAATAAAACATTGAGTTGAACCCTCAAAATACATCAGTTTGTAGAGAAAACATCAGAGAACAAAATCTTCACTTCAAAAAAAAAAAGATTATAGGCAAGTGATTTAGTTGACTCCGATACAGGTCTCTAATTGGTTTAAATTCAAGCCAAAAATCGATTTTTACGGTACTCAACAGAATTCGATAGAGAAATTTTTTTCTACATATCTCTCATTCTTAGGTCAGAAATTTGTAGTCGTCTTTAAAATATTATTAAATGATTTATTTTATTCGATTAAATTGTTAGGAAAGAATTGATTCCAGGGTATAGAATAGATTGTTCTATATCAGATTACCATTTCGTTTTTTTTAATCACTATCAATAGACTACCTTTATCATTTCGTGATATTCCATCATGAATTTCTTCTTGTGCTGATTGAATATCCTCAATAATTTCATTTGTTGTTAACGAAGAATTTGTTTGTTGTAGTGTGGCTTCATCTAAATATATTCATTCGATTTATATTAATCAAATAAAAGAATTCTTCATACCATAACAAATTTTTTCGACAAGTTCATCAAGAATTTCTTTAATAACAATTTCATCTTGATCATAAACATTCGATGATATATGATTAATTTCTTGTTTTTTTCGTTCATTAACTAAGCTCTAAAAATAAATAAATAAATAATCATATATATTTATTTTTGCTTTGTCAATATAAGAAAAACAAACCATCTTTTGTTCCATTTTTGAAAATATTCCATTGAGTATTTGTGAAAGACAACCTTGTGCTGTTGCTTCATTAATTTTCGATCGACTTGTTAAATAAATATTAAAACATGTTTTAACAATTTGTAAAACACTACGTTGATGAATTTCAATTGTTTGTGATGTCATTATTGTTAAACAAATTTTTATTATTTGTAATTCAACTTTTTCTTCAGTTTGTACACCATGAAAACATGCACAAATTATTGATACAATACGATCAATTAATAATTTTGTTGAATCAATTGGATCGACAATATTACCAATTAAATGTCCATTTAAAAGAAGTTTCTAATAAAGAAATATTAAATTCTTTTTTTTTTGTTTCATAAATATATATATATTTACTTGAAGACAATCGAGTGCAGTATCAGTCATACGAACATGATTTGATACACAGGCTAATTCCAACGGAAGAAAATATGTTTCACTAATAGATGGTATACTAAATAAAAATTTTATTAGCAAATTTTAGAAATATTAATTTAATTTACTTTGTAGTTTGAGTATCTTTTGTTAGTGAAGCTACCAAAGAAAAAAAAGAAATAGAACTATTGATTTATAAAGTAAGAGTAACTAACCAAGCGCCATTTCACATGAACGTTTCAATTGTAAATATTGTGGTTTTTTAATGTCTTTTTCACTCAATATTTTTTCGAGTGCTCGTTTTAAAAACATATCATTATTATCGACATGTCCTACAATTGGTGTACCACCACCTTTAGGATTTTTTTGAGCCATTGATATAATGCTAAAAGAAATAAATAAATTTTTATATGTCACTATTTTAAAATTATTTTCAATAAAACAGTTTGCTCAATTCTTTTCTATCAAATCAAAATCTCTAATAGTAACTATCAACATTGCCACGAGTACATAATTCATTTTGTTATTAATTTTGCTATTTATGTCATGATTCATTGGGTTGAGTCGACGTACTATATATTTTTTCTTACAGGTGCTCAATTTTTTTATGAGTGAATATTTAAACTCAGCTTATCGTCCAATCTTGAAAATATTGAGTAGATGGTGCTAAACAACAGATTATATGGCAACTATTTATAAATGAAGTTATATTTTTGTCGAAGGAAGGAATAATGCTACATAGAATGTATTAATCCTTTATTTCAATTAGTGTTAAACAGATAATAATACAAGTGTTATTTACTTGCAAAAAAAATCTTAATGAATTATCAAATAAAAATTGTTCATGAGATTTTATTATTTAATGAAAATATTTCACCTAGCTTTTTTTAAGGTTTATATTGACAATAAATAATTACCATAACGAAATTACAAAAATACATGATCGCTTAATTCAATAAATTGAAACTACGCATATCTCTGATGCTGTTATCGTATTAACCGTATAATATCTTGGAAAATACTGTAGAGTTGTATGAACTTGAACAATGGCATCAAATTTTGTTATTGTATGTAGAGATATTTCATAACAGTTAAGAATGAAGTGATTTCAAACATTGTCATAAAACTAGCAAGGTAATACTCCCAAATATTAGTTCAATACTAAGATGATAATCGTTTTCGAAACATATCTTGAAAATATGATTATACTAGTAATACGGAACTATTGTTTTTACAATCATTGTACAACATAAGTGGCAGATTTTCAAATGGAATTCATCATATTTCAATATTTTATCGAAAAATTAATTAAATACATAAGTCTTCTCCATTGTAAATGAACATATATTATTTTACCAGTAGTTGTCGCTATTGCGCAATGTATATACTTATCTAGTTTATATATTTTTTAGACTATTATGAATTCAAAAATATATAGTTACGTATTATCAACATAAAAATTATTAAATTTTTGCTATAATATCATAAGTATATATAAATTAATGATTCATCAATGTCAACTTCTCGATAAAAATGATTGGAATTGAGAAAAGTCTTATTTATATAGCAAACACGTAGAACGCTGAATATGATTCCTTCTTTAACTTAAACATCAAGAGTTTAGTCACTTCACACGCAAATAAACCAATAGTTTTTTGTTTAGTATTCATTATCAAGTTGGAAAATATTTTTTTGTCTATACATCTTATCAATGGAGACAAATGCTGATTCATCATTAACATCTTCAACTACTACAACTATTTCGTCTACTCCTACACCGGCATCATCATTTGTTAATTTATTTTTAAATGAAATCAATAATCAAGATATTTATTGTTTACTTGATGTTCAACGTTCACTGTAAAAAGATTCTTTCTTTTTTTATTCAATAAAATAATTTCATTTGATAAATTTTGTATATTTAGACTTGAACAATTAGATAAAACAAATGAAAAAATTGATGGAATTAATAAATTATCAGCTAAAAATTATTTAGATGCATCACGAGATTTTTCAAGTCATACACAAATGTTAACAACAATGAAAACTGATCTTGATTTAATATTCAAACGAATAAAGTATTATAACTAACAGAGAAAAAAAGAATAAAGTCTTTATTTTTATTCTTTTAGATTATTAAAAATGCGATTAAATAAAAAATATCCTGAAGCTTATGCGTCGGGTAAAAAGAAAAGAGATTTTTTTGCTTTTGTTCTAATAGAATATAATTGAAAATTTTAGTTCTTCGAACGAATGCAATACAAAATCCATCTCTTGATGAAGAAGATGATGATATAAATGAATTACCAACATCCGTGGTAAATCGATTTGTTTGCACTTGATAAGAAAAAAGAACAGCTGCTGCTTTTTTATTCTTCTATTAGAAATCTGTTACAAGTCCATCACTTGTTAAATCGAAAACAATTGATTGCTCACAATTTCCGTCATCAATACGTGAAAGTCATAGTTTAACACAAATACCAAATAATAAAAATATTGAATAGATATCGAATGCATTAACTGCTTAAATCATTAAATGAACAAGCTATTTTTAACGTTACTTATTTTTCAAAAATCTATCGGATAAATTTAAAAAGCATTTAAAGTTTGATAATAAAAAAATGATTTTTATGCTTCCATAGTTGATTTATGTAAATAAAACATTTATTTGTTTTTATTTTCAGATTTAATTTCAATAATTTTTTTCTTATAATTCAATTGATTTTTCTGGTAAGTGTACTGTATATGGTTATTGAACGGACAAGATTTATTTGATATAATAAACATTTCTGTTGTATATACGAACAATTGATATAAGCTATAGAAAAGAATCTAATCGAAGGAATGTAATCTTAAGAATATAAATCAAGGTACAACTAATT